TTTTTCTTGGTTGTTTGCCTACTTATTTAACTCTCTTTTTAGCCTTTTCTCTGGTACTCTCTACCTCACTCCCTATATTTCATGTCCTAAAGCATTTCTCTTTCCACAACTCTTTTCAAATAATTAATCTACCCCATGACTTCAATCATGTGTGAGTCTGCAAAGCAGAATCCAAGAGGCAATAGAAAGTGGGAAGGAAGTAGTGAGAGGCTGAGAGAGTCATCAGACCATGATGTGAATCTGACACAAGTGAAGCAGAGAGGGAAGGAAAGTCAAAAACATCCTAGACTGTTGTGCAATTCTAAGGAGTGTTTTGCAAGGTCACTGGAGAGTCCTCAAACTAAAGTCCCTTATCACAGGAGCTCCATTTCCCTTCTCTATCCAGTCATTCCTGGAAGCAGCCTTTGACTTAAACAAGCTCTGGAAGATTTTATTAGTCAAATTTCTGGAGTTAGTAAAAAATCTTCCGAAACCAACAGATGGATGAAAGAATGATACATCAACTTTGCACATTCAATTTAAATATTATTCAGGGGCGGGGGAGGAGGCAAATTCATTTTCTGTATTTTGTTCTTTGATTCCAGAATTGAATCTAGTTTTGTCCAGTTTGCTCAATGGTTGGAGCATCAGTCCAAGAACTGAAGGTTTTCATGTTCGATTCCCAGTCAAGAGCACGTACCTCGGTTTTGGGTTTGATCTCCAGCCCCAGTCAGAGCATGTGTGGGAAACAACCGATCAATCAATGTGTCTTTCTCACTTTGATGTTTCTCTCCCTCCCTCTCTCTCTCTCCCCTTCCCCTTTCCTCCCTCCCACTCTCTCTGAAAAAAAAAAAAATCAATGGAAAAAATATCTTTGAGTGAGGATTAACAAAATACAAACAAACAAAACTGAGTCTACATTCCTAATTTTTCAGAGATTTAATATGTATATCTGGAAGCCTATACTTTTCAATTTATAACACTATTTTACTCTCAATTATTTTTATAACTAGGGTATGTCATTTAGCATGACAGGTTCCTTATCTTAATAAAGTGGGTCATCTTAATAAAGTACTAGTATAATAGATAATGAGAATTTTAATTCAAAGCCCATTATGTTACATCCTTACATTAGCCTTTATATTATGACTACATGATGTTATATGTAACTTTGATCCCCCAAAATGTGGGTGTTGTTTGAGCCTGAGTTCTTATTTCCTGAAAATAGAAGAATGAAGTCCCGGAGAAAAACAATTAATGGAACCAAAGTTTATGGGGAGCAGCTAGTCCTGGAAAAGGAGTAGCTGGGGTTCTGAGAACAGGCCAGTGTTAAGAACTTCCTTTCCATGTTACAATCGAGAGTATTTGAGTACCAAAGCTAATTAGAGTCTAATAATCCATGTGTGGAGGCCCACATGGCCATAACCCAGGTGGATGCAGGGATGTGCTCCCTGCCACAGGAATGAACATCAGGAACCCTTTGTGTTGTAGTTCCAGGGAGAAGAGAAAGAGCAAGAAGAAGTGTTAGCCAGGATGGGTAATCTTGCTAACTCTTAATTGGTCTTTTCAAATAATTCTGCCTTACTAATATCCTTTGAATTGGTTTATATACATTATTGCCTTGTGATTGTTGTCTGCATGCTGCTTGTCTTAGAAACATCCATACATTCTAAATTCATGCCTCTCATGAATGTTCTTCTTTCCCCTCCCAACTCTGCCTAGCTGGGTTCTAGAAGCACCTTCTGTTAAAGTATCTTATGTCCAGGAGAAAATGACTGAATAAATGTGAGAATGAAAACTTGATACCTGCTCATGGTATGCTACTTCTTTACAAAATGTGGGCTGTGAGTGAAGTTTTCCAGGGTTCCTGTCAATTTCACCACCAAATCTTATAATCTTGGGAATCCAAATATTCTTATAACTTACTGCACAAGTCTTACCCCAAACCTGCACAGCTGTCAAAGTTTCTCCCTTTGGCCTTAAAAAGGTATAAATGGTCTAAATGCTATGCCCTTTTATCCAAGTGGTAGCTTCGCACCTGTCCCAAAAGATAGGCTTTCCTTTCAGCTGCTATCACAGGACACCCCAAGAAATAAACCCCACTCTCAAGAAAGCCACACTCCTGTTGTGTTCATCCTGGACCCCGATTCAGTGAAGGAGCAACCCAATATTTCCCAGGAATCCATAGCAGCAAGAGGAAAAAATTGGTCCCCTGGCCTACAGTGCCTAATCTTGCTCATTAAGGTTTTCTCAAAGATACATTTTGAAACATATTTCAAGTGGATATGTTGGCTAAGATTAACATGACAGGTGACCCAATAGTCTCCGTGTTTTTAATATTTGTAATATTTGTTTACCCTTGTGAGGGAAGGAAAATTTTTCCTCTACCCTTCTAGGTTCTCTTGGCTGGTCTAATAATTAAATTGACATGAGGCAGGTTAACAAGAAAAATAATAATAAAATTTAATTACATACAGATATACAGAAACCCACATATAGGAGAGATTCAGAGACAGAAAGATAAAATGAGGATATGTGACAAATAACTAAAGAATTAGGTAAGGTGCCCTGAGGTTTCTGAGGGGAGGAGGGAACTACTCAGATACATAAAAAGAGCAGATGTTCAGTAATTAGAAGTTTGCCCTGCACTATAGATAGATCATAAAAAGTAATTTCTGATAATAACTCTTATTATGGGCAAGACCCTCCATTTAAATTCTTTTTTAAAATATATTTTATTAATTTTTTTTACAGAGAGGAAGGAAGAGGGATAGAAAGAGAAACATTGATCAGCTGCCTCCTGCACACCCCCTACTGGGGATGTGCCCACAACCATGGTACATGCCCTTGACTGAAATTGAACCTGGGGCCTTTCAGTCCTCAGGCTGATGCTCTATCCACTGAGTCAAACTAGTAAGGGTCATTTAAATTCTTTTAAGGAGAGGTAAAAAATGTCTCGAGCCCACAAAGTCTCAATTGCTTTCAGTTCAAAATAATTCACATGCCAGTGGCTCATGTTGGGGAGGCCAGTTCTGAACCGCTTCACCCTCCTTTATTTCACTCTCACCTAGCATTTTTCTTTATTCTTAGAGCCATGTTCTTATCAGGATACAACTTCAGTTTATACCTATGCACTCACAGTTGCCACATCTGTGACTTCCTCCATAGGTGGTTCAGAAAATGGTAAGCCGTACGTACCAGGTGTCTTTTTCAGACAGTGCTCACCTGTATCACCTAATGCAAGTGGCAATGTATAGAGTATGCTAAATATGGAATCTGGCAGATGGGAAACTGGCCTCTATTTTGCAACCCAGCATTGAGTGTTAGAACCTGGTGAGGGGGGGGGGGGGGGGCCGCGGGGGGGGGGGGGAAATGAGGAACTTTTGTAATAATATAAACAATAAAGATTTATTAAAAAAAAAAGATGAAAAGCAACAGAATACATTTAGAGAGAGAGAGCTTCATTGTGCTCTTGGAAGGGGGAGTTGGGGCAGCCTGCCATGTTCTTTGTTTTGGTCCTCAGGTACAGTTCAATGTGGTGGTATCAGCTTTTTCCCTTAGTGAACTGCCCAGCAAGGATGTCTTGTCTAAACCTTGTGGTGCAAGACAAGTGATTTTCTGATGAGTAAAAATCCACTTTCCCTTCAAGTTTTAAAGCAGCTTCATGGGTTTCATTCCTTTCCTTCTCTACATTGGAGCTTGTCTTTATTCTCGACCATTTTTTCTCCTGCATAGATCCCTTTGTCCCTCTTGTAGGGTCATCATCTTATATATAATACCATTTCCTTTAGGACTGCTATTCCATTAGTGAATGCTCATACAGAGCTACCGACATTTATGTGTGGGAGCTAAAAAAAAATAATAATAATAATACTTTTGCTCCCACCTTCTAAGGTCTTCTAGCTGGGCTACTAAATCAAATTAACAGATAGGTTAACAGGGGGGAAGGGGAAGGGAATCAAGTACATGAGGAATTCACATAGGCATAAAAATTCCAAAGGCAGTGAAGCAACATTGAAAATATATATGGCATTTTGGATAAAGAAGAAAACTGGGGGAAATGGATTTTAGATTTTAGAAGTGAGAATGGACAATTCTTTACAGGAAGTTGAGGAAGAGTGAACACACATGGTAGGCAAATTATTGCTAGACCACTCAGAAACAATGGGGCATGGGTATCTAGCTAACAGGCCCCTACCTGAACCTGCTCACCCACCATACTTAATTCAAATTAGACTAAGACATAGCCTAGGATTCCCTTCCTGAAGTAGCCCTTTGCATCTAAATCTCTTAGGGAGGAAATATGGGAGGATCAAAGGTTCTTTCTGAGTCTTTTGTTTAAAACACAAAACAAATACAGCTTAAAATCAGTATTTCCAAAAGGTAGTGAAGCAGAATTTTTAGACTGGGTAGGATGTCCAGGATTCTTTGTCCGTCTGAGTCAAAGAATGAATCCACAGACAGAGGTGGTATAGCAAAGGTGAAAACTTGTAAACAGCAAGTACAGATTCCCATGAGGGGAGAAGGAAAGAGTCCCACAAAGGTTCCCTTTCCATGGCTTATAAATGCTGCAGAGCTTTGTGCCTTGAAGCCCCCTCTGATTGGTCACTATTCCCAGAGACTATAGTAACTATAGTAACTTCTGAGCTCAAAGGTCAAATCTCACATGAGACATGAGAGTGCATGAGAGTGTTTTTCTCCCCTCTTTCCTTATTGTTTTCCTATTCCCTTTTGGGTTTCTTCTTCTTCTGGATGAAGGGTTTTCTTTATTTTGTAAATATAGACCTTTTGTTATCTCTAGCTCCCTCATTCTATGGAAATATACCTGCCGTAGCTTTTTAGCTTCCCTGTTTTATAGAAATATACCTTCTGCTGCTCTGCAGACCTGTGCTTCTTCCATGGTCCTCTTAATTTATAAAATTCCCTAAACCTGTATTTTTCACCCCTAAAAATTCCTGTTTCAATAGCTTTGGGGTGGCAAAATTTTATTTGGTTCTCTTCATATGTTCTCATATAATTCAGGGCTTCTGCTCATTTTCCCCTTTGTGAACAGATATTGGTGGAGAATGGAACAAAAGCTGGGCACTGCCTTCTCATGGAAGCCAGGGACCTGGTCCTTAAGGTGAGGTTCTTTCTCCTTCTCTTCCCCAACCCCTACCCATCTGTCACCAATTACCAGTACTCCCTTAAAAATGGAAAAGACTGTCCTACAAAGGTAAGTGACTCTCAGCCAGGTGAGTAGGCATGTAAAGTCATTATGCTGTAGAGTGGTTGTTAGCTCTAGGCAGGGGGGAAGCCCAGAGCCTATGCAAGCATCTGCAAGGTGGATGGTGACAAAGATACCTTAGCTGGCGCCTTCCTAGGACCTTCCTAGACCCCTGGCCCAAGACAGGAATTCCACACCTCTCATGCCCTCCACTCTCCCCTCACTAGCTGTATAAAAGAAGTACCTATGCCGCTTTTTGGCACGAACTTCCCTGGCCCACCCTGAGACAATGAGCTTCACCCGGGAGTGCAGATTAAAACCTCCTCCCTTTTTAATGGATCCCTTTTTAATGGCCTGGATCCTGTGTCTTGCTTCTGCATTGCAAACCTCTCAGCTGGAATCTTACAGTGGTGGCTGGCAGGTTAGGGCCTATGGATCAAATCCTACCTGCCAGGATTTGTATGAATCAGGCTTATTTGAGTGTCTATTGTGTATGGCTGCTTTCACACTACAAATGGCAGAGATGAATAGTTGGGACACAAACACATTTTGGCTACTCTCTGAGCCTTTAAAAAAGTTTGCTAACCCCTGACCTAGGACATGGCTGAGCCAACAACCTTATCTCTAGGAATGTATGAGCTAGTGTAAAATCATGAATTTAATTGTCCTGAAATGGGATTTTTTTGAAAGTGGAGGTTGCTGACAAGGAGAGCACCACTCTATGTGCCAAGTTCCTGCCTTCCTCCTGCTGCAAAGAGAAAGTTCTTTGTTTGAAGAATTAGAGAAGTAGCCAGCTTAACTCAAAGAACATAGTAACTACCAGAATCGGATGTTAAAGGAGTCCTCAATTGAGTGCAGAGATTGACTTATGAGAATAGACCCTGCAGGCCCAGCTTAATTTTGTTATTTCCTTTGATTTCAGGGAAAGGAGAAGTCACCTCTGGACCCTAGGCCTGGTTTTGTCTTTGCCCCAGTGAGTATTGCTTTACCTTTCCCAGCATGCAAAGAGCTGAGCTCAGCTGTGTCCAGGACAAGTGAGAGGGCAAAGCTAAGTCACCCTCCACTGCTTTGTGTCCGGATCCGATTTCTTCTTAGTGGATCCCCTGCTCTCCCTACCTCTGATCCTGTGCCTCCTGACCCCTGGACCTTCCTGACCCTAGCACCCTTCGTTTCCCAGTATTATGATCTGTGGTTCTTTCATCTTACCTCATGTTTTCATGTGTGTTTACAGTGTCCCCATAAACTTCCTTGTCCCCAGTTGACAGCCTCTAAGCCCCTGGCCTGTAGCTTTTCCCAGGCTTACCATCCCATCCCCTTCAGCTAGATATGTATCCTGGGAATATTGCAGCAGGGAGGAGGTAGCTTGGGAAAGCAGGATGAAAAAGAATCAGGTGGAAGGAGTTGGAAAATTCCGAGAGCGTTTGTAGAGCCCGAATCTGCATGACCTAGAATATGAAAAGGAATGGGGGTCAACATTTTCCCCATATCTTTTCCCAAAAAACAGTCTCTCTCTCCCCTTACCTTAGAGCAAGAAGTCAAAGGAGGAAAAGTTCTCGATGGTAATCCTTGCCCGGGGGTCTCCAGAGGAAGCTAATCGCTGGCCGCGGATCACTCAGCCTGTCCTTAAACGGCCACGCCATGTGCACTGTCATCTGTGCTGTCCAGATGGGCAGATGCAGCATGCTGTGCTCACAGCCCGCCGCCGTGGCAGGTACAGAGGCTGTGACCATGGTAGGTGGGAGGTGGCAGGAACCTACCCCCAACACTGACCTCTCTTTTTCATAGGGAATGTATCGCTGTGCCCGTGTCAGCTCCTGGGGAGATCTTTTACCTGTAACCACGCCGTCTGAGCTTCTTCCGTCCCCTGTTGAAGATCCTCCTGAGAGTTGACAAGGATGTGTAACAAGGGTTTTCTTGTATCGAGCCTGCCAGGGCTACAGCCACCTGGTATCCAGGATGGGAGTGTAACGAAAAACACAGGTTTGAATCCCTGCTGCAAGCCAAACTCGTGAGGCAGGTGCAAAAGGAAAGAGGTTTTATTCTGGTGCTGCTCAACCTGGTAGAATGGTGGACTTCTGTCTCAAAGACCATCCCCTCCTCCTGCTTATAGGGAGAGAAGGGCTTTTTATTTTTCTATCCAGTTATTTTGCCAGCTTACAGCTCATGGGGCCCTGTCCATTCACATTTCTAGCTTTGGGCCCCCGGTCAGGCCCTGTCCATTCATCTTCCTCAAGTCCAGTACATTGGTCTTTCCAGCTTGCCACGCGCCCATTCATTCCAGCCTTTGGCGTGGTCAGTATAAGACCCGCCCCCTGCGCCATTTTGTCCAATGAGGAGACTCCAACTGACTGTGCGAGGTAACAGGAGTGCTGGTACCATATATATATATATAAGCATTTGTTTGAGGTTTTAATACGAATTATAACTTTTCAAAGAATAGGAATGGGTCTTGTGATTCTTAAAAGGTGTAGAGGTCAGTCACCACGGCCTATCCTGTAACGAAGTAAGTCCTCAGAGATTCAATGCCTGTTTCCCGCAGAAACCTCAAGCTCAGCCCCAGCTGTAAGAATACAGCTGCTTCTCCCAGAGACCAGGACTTCCCAGGGAAGTAATAGGGGAGTGGGAAAGCCACCCCCAGCACTCTGAGAACTGGCTCAACAGGTCTCAGGGTAGTTAGATGGGTCACCTGGACAGCTGACCAGCAGCTGCCTGGCCTCTGTTTTTCTCCTTTCTTTCTTTCCTTTTATCTCGCAGGGTTCATCAGCTCCCCAGAGTTTGCATCATGAATGCCCCTCAAGAAACGATCCTTTCAGTTTGAGTCATTCTTTCCCACAATCCTATGTCCAGGCAGAGTCCATTTACTTGGTTAATTTCTGTGTTCCCCTAGGCCTTGCTGTTTCAGAGCTAGAACAACTTTCTGTGTATTAAAACTCTCAGTCCCTCTCCTACAACAATTTCAATCTCAACTTCCACTAGACATTTTTATACCTGGAGCTATTTTTCTGGGATTAAAGGAAAGGGGAGTCCCCTTATCTACTAGTTCCCAGAGTGACAGCAGCATCACTCCTTAGCCCCACCTCTTTCTTAACCCCAGGTGGCCCCAAATCCTCTCTGAAAGGGTAAGGTTCAGGTATCAGCATAGCAGCCTATAAGACTTGCATTGAGGTGGGGAGGGTATGGAAGGCTTAGATCAAATGTCCTGAAGTGAATCAGGACCAGATTGTCCCCAACACAAAATAGCTGGGAAGTAGCTACCATAGACTGCCATTTTGGATTAGACCAGCCCCAGGCATGAACCAAGTCAGTCCAAGCCCTTGGATTATTCATGGAATTGAAGAGAAGACAGAGCACAGGGAGTCTAGAGTTTCTGGTTTCCAAGTTCAGAAGGCATAAGCCAGGGGAGGGGCCTCCATGTAGGAGAAGGGCAGGAAGGTGAGGCAGGGCCCCAGTCAACTATGCAAGGCTGCGCAAACAGGCAGCACAAAACAAAGAGAATCCAGCAGCTTCCCGAAATTCAGGAATGGACACTACAGCTTTGATCACCTAAGGCACCACTCCTGCTCCAAAGCTTGTAACTCCATTTGTCATTCTGAGGTCTCTGCTTATCCTGTACCCCAAGGATGGAACAAGTGGTAGAAGTAAAAATTGGCTGCCTATTTGCCCTGCTGGTTATCTCGATGGTCTGTGGCCTTATTCCCATCTGCTTCAAATGGTTCCAGATGAAGGCAACCAGAGGTATAACTCTTTTGTAGCTTTACCCCCATAACCTGACTTTAACCCTGTCATCTTACCTTGACACCTTGCTTTGATTCTCTTGCCATCCCCAAGCTTGGATATTGAGTGCTCCTTGTTGTTCCTTAGTCACCTTTGTCCATCTCCTCATTGCTAACTGGTTGTAACTCCTGCTTTTCATTAGGTCATCCCCCGTGGGGCCTCAGCCTCCGTCTCCTGAGCTGCATTTCTGCAGGTGTTTTCCTGGGAGCAGGGCTCATGCACATGACTGTTGAATCCTTGGAGAATATTGAATTTGAGATCCAGAAGATGAAGGTGAGTAACTAAAGTGTAGGGCTAAGAAACCATATGATGAGCAGAACCAAGGGGAGACAGGAGGGAAAGTGATAGAGCCAAGGACATGTGTGGAACTATAGAGACAATGTCAGCTCTTGTGTTGTCATGGAATCATGATAACAGGTCAGATTAGATTGTAAGGAATGCAGTGGAGCTGAAGGGACAGGGCAGGAAGCTGAGCTGCTCCATACCCCATCTAATTTCTGCTTTTTTCTCCCTAGAACAGGACAGAGAGTGGGGGGAATTCTTCTAGAGTTGCTAGTTGGGCTCATGTAAGTATCTCCCACACCTAACCTGGAGGGTGAGGAGAACCAGAGACTCCTCATACCCAGATCCTTTTGAGGAGTACCAGGAATCCCTCTGCTCCTCAGCTCAGACACTGTAGGGAAAGGAGGAGCCAACCTGATCCTTTGGGGTTTATGGAACCCAGACAAAGCTCTGGCTTTACTCTTCCTTCTTTCCCTAGACCCTTAGACATGCTCCCCATCGTTTTCCCACATTTGAACCCTGATGATGCTGCAACCTTGGCCCCTCTAGTATCTTGTTGCATGTCCATATCTTCTCCAAGCTTTGTTCCCTTACACACACACACACACACACACACACACACACACACACCATTTTAAAAATTTGTTTTTATTGATTTGAGAGAGAGAAAGGGAGAGAGATAGATATATAGAAAAATCAATGATGAGAGAGAATCATTGATCATCTACCTCTGGTATATCCTCTACTGGAGATTGAGCCTGCAATCCAGGCATGTGCCCTGATCAGGAATTCAACCATGGTTCATGGGTTGATGCTCAACCAATGAGGTACACCAGCCAGGCCACCTAATGTTTTTAAAGTTCTAGTCCCACATTTCCCATTCTCCAGTTTCCCACCCCACCTCTACACCTCCATCCACTGCACTTCCTTCCTTTCCTGTCCCACAGCCCCTCTCTCTGTTCCCAGAAGGACTATCCCTATGGAGGGCTCATCATCTCCCTGGGCTTCTTCTCCGTCTTCTTTTTGGAGTCGCTGGCATTGCAGTGCTGTCCTGAAACCATTGGAAGATCAAAAGTGCAGAAGAAGGAAGTGAGTGAGGATCATGACCATGGACTCCACAGCCAGGAGCCCTTACCCTCGCGAAGGCTCTTTCAAGGAGCCCTCATTCTCTTGTTCTCACTCTCCTTTCACTCGGTCTTTGAAGGTCTGGCTGTGGGGCTGCAGACAACCGTAGCAACTACAGTGCAGCTCTGGCTTGCTGTCATGGCTCACAAGGGGCCTGTAGTGTTTGGTGTAGGACTACGGCTGGTGCAGATCGGCACTGCGTCACGATGGGCTGTGTTCTGCATATTTTTATTTTCTCTCATGTCTCCCCTGGGCATAGCCCTGGGGTTGGTTGTGCCTGGAACAGACTCAGAAGTAGGGGGAGGCTTAGCCCAGGCTGTTTTAGAGGGTGTGGCAGCTGGCACCTTCCTGTATGTCACCTTCCTAGAAATCCTGCCCATGGAGCTAGCTGGTCCTGAGGCACCTCTGGTCAAGTGGGGCTGTGTAGCCGCTGGTTTTGCCTTCATGGCCTTAATTGCCTTGTGGGCCTGAGAGATTCCTGACTTTTCTGGATCCAGGAGACACCTCCCAAAAGGCTTTGGTCCTCAGACATTTCTCCACTGAGACTAAGTGGCATTCACTAGGCATCATCCCCATGAACTGGATCCCAGCCTCTCCTATGTGAGATCCCTTTGCTCATCCAGGACTGAGAAAGGGACGTTTATTTTAGGTTGAGTGTCTATACTTTGGAGAATTTATATAAAGGACCATCACTGCAGATTTGACTCTTGTTCCATTTTTGCTACTATGTGTAATAAATGTCCAATTTACCCTCCCCCTTCAAGCATCTATTCTTCCTTTCTCTGGGTTACCTAACTGCTGCCTAGTGGAGCAGGAAGTAGGGAGGGTGAGTGTTGGATGCAATCTCTTCTTCTGGAATCAGAGCCCCTAGCCATTGTGTCACTTGCAGCCATGTCCCCCAGATATGGGAGCACTGCTGACATTCCAACAGCCTGCTCCCACCTTACCCACTGGTGTTGAAATACTGATCCAGAGTTCCTAACATTTAGAGGAGAAGAGGTTTAAAAGTAAACATTGGGCATCTAGATTTTTTTCCTATACTAATCACACCTATCCCACTCCCTGATATTAGATTATCAACCACCAATGCATTCAACAGACTCTTTAGATCAGGCTCAATGGAGCCTACTTCCACCTGGTTTCTGTTTTTCACACTGAGTCCTGTGTGGCCTCAGGGACACATTTGCTGTCTTTGAGCTTCTGTCTCCATCTAGCTACCTTGTGCTGTGGGATTAAAAAGTAGTGTTTGGGGGCATATTAAGTACAGCAAAGGAAATATCAAAAATATAACTATATATGGTGTCAGGTGGGACTAGACTTATGGGGGATCACTTTGTAAGTTATATAAATATCTAATCATTATATGTACATGTATTGTATCTAATATAATAGTCTATGTCAACTGTAATTTAATTTAATTTTTTTAATAAAAAAAAGAAGCAATGTATTGGAAAGAGAGAAGAAGGTGGACAAATGCCAAGGACAATTACTTAGTTCTGCCACAACTGCCTGCTCTCCCTGACACTATACCCCACTCCACTGGACCATTTGTCTTTCAGGCGAGTAACCCCTACAATGTGCTGCTTTTCTTAAAAACTGCATAAATAAAAAAAATAAAAAAAAAACTGGTTACCTGGAATTGAGGAGGAGCAGGATGGCCCTGACCCATGAGATAGAGGAATGTCTCAGACTTGGTGGAGAGACAGGGAAAGCGGAGGTGTGTGACAGGGTGAGCTCAGGCACCCTCACCTAGTACCCCTTCAAATACTTTCACTTGAGAAGCTCAAGAGGCCTTAACATGGGCAAGGTCTCCTGAGTTCCATTCTCATCTCATTTCATTTCTGTCTTCTGTCCTTTCCATTCCCCTCCCCACAAATTAAGAATAAAAACTCCTTCACCAGCCCAGCTCACGCACCCAGGCATCAGTGATAAGCCAAGCTAAAGACAAAACCAAATAAAAATGATGAGGAAATAATTTCCCTGAAGTGCCATCCCAATCTGCTTCCCTTCAGGGCTAAGTGCACTCAACTCACACATAACACAGTCATAATAATGGAGTTTCCACATTGAGCATCTGCTGTGTGCCAGGCACTCTCATGTTGCTTCCACATATATTATCTCACCTTCCCAATCCTGCCAGGTAGATATCCCCATAGTAAGTCCAGGGAAGCGCACTCCGAAGTTAAATAACTTGATCACCTAACTAGGCTTCAAACCCATGTTTCTGTGATGCTAAGAAAACCTCAAAATACAGATTCTCTTTTTACCTTCCCTTCCTCATCTTTACCTTACCTATTCTTCCTGTCTTATGTGTAAGGGTCTCGGGAGAAAGCAGAGAGCACATTGGATAACTGAGGGGCAAGTTTAATAAAGAGAGTGTGTAGAATATGTGGCCAGGATTAGGACAGAGCAACAAATGATGATGGACCACCATGAGGCTGAGTAATAGCAATGCTGTTATCTAGGCTGAAGAGAAGGAGCAGTTACCAGAAACTCAAGAGCCATCCATTAAAAGTTGAAGCCTTTGATAGAGAAATAGTGCCAGCCTGCAGGTAGGTGCTCAGCAAGTAGTGCTCCAAAACTTATTATTTATCTCTCCTGCTACAGTTTCACTATCTGAATACCTTTAGGTTATTACCCTTTAAAATATCTTCATGAGTTCCACAGTTTTCAAGTGGATATTACAATGCTCTCATCACTGTATTTTCAGTTTTATTCTTTCCAATGAGCCATCTCTTAGCTATCTTAATACTTCTGTCCCTATAGTCAAGGAGATACATTCTTTGAGATTAAAAGAAAGGAGAAAAAGGAGTCCTAAGGCTGAAGCAGAAACAAAAGTAAAGAGTTTGTGTTTCAGCTCCTAGGAAGTCACCCCACCTTTCCTGTGAACCTCTGAGCTCTGATCTCGAGAATGGACAGGAGCCACCAGCGTGGTATCAGGCCCACACTATGTAACTACTCTGTAGATTCTGGAAGACCATGGGAGACCCAGGAAGGGAACTGGGAGCTGGGGAAAGTTAGGAGGGACCATGACAACCACAGGGGGGCACTGTGTCCCCATGGGCTCGCCTGGAACGTGTAGGACCAACAAAGCAGAGAGGTCAGCCAAGGACAGCACACCCCTCTCCCTTGCATCCAGCAGACAGACCCTCTCCCTCTACCTATTTTGGGCTTCTTACGCAGGGACATATATAGGCAAGAGACACACATGGTCATCATTCATTTCACATACCGCCCCATAGCAGGTACCCACACAACCACTCACATTTTACCCAGAAATGAGATTTTCTATTTCTGAAGATTACCCTGCTAACATAATAGTGTTTGCTGTGCGGTTGAATGTGCTGAGAAAACCCACCTTCCCTTCCATAAGGCACAGCAAACAGCTATTGCTAGTTGGAACTCTTTGCCTTTTCTTCATGTCTTGTTTACCTAGGAGCTAGTTATGCTAGCAATTCCAATTATGTGGTTTCTTTTCTTCAGTGTGACATTTGAGCACTTGCTGCCTGCCCTGTGCGTGGTCACCAAACACCCTCACCCTCCTGATCCTGGCCTACTGCATTTAAAATAGTTCAGTGCTATGAGAGTGATGAAATGCTCAAGCATCAAGAGCATGTTCCATGCCCCACTTCCACGTCAGTGTGTCAGTGCTAGACATCAAGCTGCATTAGTCATCAGGTCTGTTTCACTGAGGAAAGTGTATACTTGTCCATGGGGTTTCTATAAAGTAATCTGGCAAATGACCTTGTACTATTATTCCATCTGCAGTTCTTGGACAATAATACTATAAAGTGCCTTCTCATTTTTACTTCTTGTGCCCCAAGAGCCCAAGGATCAACCTAGAATAGTCACAAAATAGCTGAAGTTCTCTTGATGATTATTGTTCATATTTGTTAAGAAGGTTCTCAAAGAACCACAGATATAGTCTAATTAACTTCCCAAAGTTGGATTTATGTGGGAGGAGAAATCCCTGAAAGGAAATCCTAGTTGCTGTGATTCACCTGGAGTCTTCAGATTAGGATCAATTTACCAATCCAATAACCCCTCTAGAAACTGCATGAGGCATGATCTCTGATTGTATTGAACCACCTAAAATGGAATCTAAGTGACCCCACAGAGGATCCTGCAAGAAGGTGGTTACAAGATGTCTTTGGGCATGTCAGTCAGTTTTCTGTAACTCCTCCTTTAAGATTATGATGTTGGTTGCCCTAATGGTGTGGCTCCTAATTGAATGTCAACCTGTAAACAAGGAGGTTATGGTTTGATTCCCAGTCAGGTCACATACCTGGGTTGTGGGCTTGAATCCCCAATAGGGGGAGTGCAGAAGACAGCTGATCAATGATTCTTTCACATTGTTGATGTTTCTATCTCTCCCTCTCTGAAATCAATAGAAACTTAAAAAAAAAAAAAAAAAGAGAGAGAGAGATTATGATGTTGATAACATCTCTGAAATCCCATGGCATTTCTCAATAACTAATAAGGAAGTCTTCTAAGATCTAAGTAGTCCCTCTCCCAAAATGTGAAGCTACTATCAATATCAAGGACAATACCATTCTATTGAATAGGGGCCAATGATTGTGAAGTCACATTTTGTGAAGTGTGTATGCTATGAAAGCCCCCTCCCATGGTTTATGTCACTTGGAGAAGAGAATGTGAGAGTTGCGCAGGGATGGGGTAGGAAAGGGGCATGATGCAAGCACACTGAGACAGAGTAATAATGGTGCTCAGATTCCTCTACAGTTTATTGTTACATCAGAAGTTGTGGGAGACAGGAGAGCACCCTCCACACGTAACACACTGTGGTCAGAACCCCAAGGTAGCCCTTCCCAGCCCTATGCCAAGCCCCAAACAGCCCTGCCCTGGCTTGGTCCCCTCCCTCTCCCACTCTAGACACACACTGCCTAGACAGCTGCCAAAGTTAGTGGCCCCAGGCCCCTTCCTATTGCCCAGCTCCATTCCTTTCCTCAAATTTGTTCATTGCCTATCAGATGTTTCTATCATATCCTGAGGACCACTAACCTACCAGCAAGCCTCCCTGACACATTTATTTAGGCCCATAGCCTTCAGAGATTTGAAGGATTAATGAGAAGCCATATCTGCTTTGGTGAATGGAGACCCAGCACCAAGTCCTTATCCTTACAATGGGATGAGTAGGGAGAGTCTGGGGCAGGCACCATGGACATCTACAATGACCACTTATCCCTCGTCTACGGACACCTAAATTAAGGAGAGGGAGACGCATGCCCTCTCCACCTTAACAACAGAATGAGGGAGAAGGATCATTTAGGGGTCTGAGTCCCTAAGCGATATTAGGTCAGCTCTCCCAGGAGCTGAGGGATATCACAGGTTAGAGGGCAAGGATAGGATAGTGATCAAAGATCAAGGTCATCTTCCCACATGATCTGCCTGTCTTCCCTTGTTCACTCTGGCCCAGTGTTCTACATACCTCCCAGTTTAGTGTTAGGGGAGGTGAGGCTGGGTCCCACACCAGGACTATAAGGGCCATTCAACAGGAGACCTCCATGGTGTGCCCTGGGGTCCCTGAAGGGAGAGTCCCAGACTCGCTGCTCTGGGACAAGGTTTGAACGTGGGACCCGCTGCCGTCAATGGATGCTGCACTGGTCAGGGAAGCTGTGCGAGATCGGGACAGGCGAGTCATGCAGGATGAGGCCACTGTGGAGACAGAAGGGTAAGCAGGCAGTTAGAGAGGAGGAAGGGAAGAGGGGTTGGCAACACAGAGCAGGTGTGAGAATTACAAATGGGGTCAATGAGCTTGATTTGGCAGATAGTGTTAAGTCCAGGAATCAGTCTAAATGGTTCCTCCTCTCAGTGGCCATCCCTCATACTTGCAGTAATCCCTGTCCTCATGATAGCCTCTGACCCCCATACTCACTGTAGCCCATGCTTTGCAGGAAGTACTTGAAGGCCTCGGTCAGCTTGCCTGGCTGAGGAAGTAAGATGAGAAGAGGGAGACAGTGATGTGAGGTTATGAGCTGAGCAAGACCCCAAGGCCATGGCAGTGGCAACGGGTGTATATAGTTCAGTGACATTAATATCCCATTCCCCAGATGGCTGGGGATACTATAGATAGAGTCAGCTATCTATTCGGGAGAGAGCCCCCAGGAAAAAACAATGACACACACATAAATAAAATGAGCTAGCCAAGAGATAAAAAAGATCTCTCTTCCCTGCTTCCCTACTTTAGGCAGTTAATAATTTGGGATTGGTTTTTGTCTTTTAGTTAGTTTGTTTGTTTTACTTCACTCAGCCCACTTGCTCCAGGAGGAACCCTGGAGGCCTAAACACTGAATCTAGGACTCAGTATATACTTCTCTGGACAAGGCCAATAGTCAGGTTGGACATGAAGTAGGGTTGCTGACCTTGAAGAAAGAAGTCTGGGTGGGGTTCAGTTTTGAATTACATTCCATCTAGAGTAAGTACCCTGTTTCCCCGAAAATAAGACATTGTCTTATATTAATTTTTGCTCCCAAAGATGCACTAGGTCTTATTTTCAGGGGATGTCTTATTTTTCCATGAAGAAGAATATGGTACACATTTATTGTTAAATGAAAATAAAGGAAATTTATTACCTGTATACAGTACGGTAGTACGGTAGTTGTCAACACAAACCAGACAAACTGTGAATCCTACAGTATCAAGAATTTACTCATTTATTCAATGACAATCATGTCATCATCTTCTGGAACATCATCATAACAATCCAATTCCTGAATTTCCTGGTGAATTTCTTGTGACTCCATTTCTTTCAGAATCAGTGGACCAAATGTCTCATGTTTAGCAATAGCATTCTGAGACAGAGCCTAGGGGGGCCTTATTTTCAGGGGATGCATTATATTTCACTCAGAAGGAAACCTGTAAGTAGGTCTTGTTTTCGGAGGATGTCTTATTTTTGGGGAAACACGGTAGGAAACTGAATGAGTGAAGTCACACTCCCTGTGGTCCCTCCCATTCAAGAAACCTAGTACCAATCTTCTACCCATTTCCTTCTTAAAGGGAATCAACTTCTTTATATATATATATATATATATATATATATATATATATATATATATATATTTTATTGATTTTACACAGAGAGGAATTGAGAGGGACAGAGAGTTAGAAATGTCGATGAGAGAGAAACATCGACCAGCTGCCTCTTGCACACCCCCTACTGGGGATGTGCCCGCAACCAAGGTACATGCCCTTGACCGGAATCGAACCTGGGACCTTTCAGTCCACAGGCCGACGCTCTATCCACTGAGCCAAACCGGTCCCGGCAGGGAATCAACTTCTTACGCACCAACGTTGCTCTCCATGTCCCAAACAGAGCTTGCCTCCTGTCAAGATAACCCTCTAAGCATCACCGTGGAACTCTTACCCTCCCTCATCTACCCCCAAATTCCCTATTAACCACTGCCTCTTCATGAAGTGCTTGGTCTCTGACCACCAGCATCAAGGAGTACTTGGAGACAATGTTGGGGAGGAGGTGGTGAGCCCCTGCACTCCCCACCACCTCTTCCCAGAAGAGCAGCCAGTAAGTGTTGGGCCCCAAAGAGGAAACAGCCTTCTGAATCCCACCAACTCCACTGAGAAGATTCGAAGGGGAAAGACCTAGAGGGTGATGATTTGCTAAGTGGGATGAGATGGGGCCCCTTACAAGAGAAAAGAGAGGTAGGAAAAATGCACAGAGCTTTGGTCACCATATGAAGTTGTACTATTCTCTAGGACCTTCCCAATTTGTTTATACACTCCCCTCCCCACAAATTCTCCCTCTCCCACAGATAGTTTTAGCCATCCAAGAAGCTAGTTATATTCAATACATTTTGTTTTGAGGCAGCAAAAGTTATTCTCAGAAACTGAGCTGTCTTTACAACTTATTTAGCATAAGCTTAATGTGGGAATTATAATAAATTCCATAGTATACAGGATAATATATCTTAATAAGCAAAAGGAAGAAATAGCATACTCCAAGCAAATGACAGATTAATCACACTATTATTCCAGGCAAGGGAAGGTGAAGGAATAAAGTTTAAGTTTCATAAAGGTATACATTTTTATACAAGTAGGTATTTTATGCCTAGATTTCGTGATCCCCAAAGATTACCAGGGAGCCAAGTCCGATGCAATAGCAGAAAGCCTATATTCCATGCTAGCATGGGCTCTGTCCCACTTACACTGACAGTGGTGTGGCAGAACAGAGCGAGCTTCAACAGATCAATGGGTTTTATAGGGGTGATGATGTCACTGCTTTGGCTGACCCTGATTAGTTGGGTGAGGGTTAGGGTCTAGTTACAAAATGGAGGATCAGGAGTTAGCCCCATCCTGCCCTTTCAGGTACTTGGGAGAGTCATTGTTTAACCTGCAGCTGGTTTCCACACTTTTAGGGAACAAAGACAGCAAGTGTTGGAAGGCAGCTAATGTATTTTATGGGGAGTCTACATGGGTTTATCACCACTGTGCAGGGAGTGTCTCTCCAAGACAGGAGCAATTCCTGTGTCTTGCTCTTTGATTCCAGAAATGAAACTACAGTTCTATTTTTCAAAGACATTAATACTTATATCCAGAAGCCTACACATTTCAATTTATAAGACTAAGTTATCCTCAATTATTTGTATAACTCAGGTATGTCATTTAGTATGACAACTTCCTTATCTTTGGCCAGGAGGAAAGGTTTTCCTTATCCTTCTAAGTAACGTCTAGCTGGTCTAATAAGCATATTGATATGAGACAGATTAACAGGAGAAAAACAAAATTTAATAACATGTGAACCTCCTGTATACATTTGTCAATGTAAGAGTGTCCAAACCTATAGAGAATTTTTATGAAAATTTGAGTTTATTTGAGCCTAACTAATGACATGTTAGGAGGTAAGATCTCAAATGTTCCAGAGAATAACAGTTTTGCAGTTTCTTTTATACAGGGTGAGGCAAAAGTAGGTTTACAGCTGTGAGCAGTTTTTTCTGGTATTATTAGTTATTAATTAGTGTATTATTTTCCATGCAAACATGCCTCACCCTGTATATTTGGAATTAAGTAGGGGTGGTGGTGGTGGGGGCGAGGGTGGTGAAGGGAAGATTACTTAAAGTTGGGAGAAAGAAAGCCAGAGAAATCACTGTGGTTGGATTAGAGTGGATTACAGGATAGTTACCAAGATTGTGGGCTCTTCTGAAGTGGTGACACATCTGAGGTCTGAAAAAGGCCTTCAAAGTTGTGTAACCTAGGTGTACAAAAACAATGGACAGGCCTTGCTTAAGGTGAAGATAAACCTTTTATAGGCCTAGGAATGGCTACCCACATGACCTGCCCAGTTAGGAATTGATGATCAGATCACCCTGTGAGGTTATTTTCAGCTAAAATTATTACATCCACACTTGGGAGAGACCAGTAACTTACCAAAATGAAGTAATTTACCAATATGGAAGAAGCTATCACCTTAAAAATCACCTTCATCTGAAGACAAAAGATGCTAGGAGTGGGGAGTCAGTTATGGGAGATTACCAGGAACAGCACAGTGAACAAAGGTAAGGTTGTCATGCAGATTTCACTTCTCGCCTTCTCAGCTGTTAACAGTGTCTAGAGATTTAGATATCCTATTATTCCTGGTACAGCCTATAGGGCGTGGCTCTAGGTTTAAGCCTCAGGCAAGGCCACAAACAAGTTCCAGCCTGGAGGGCAGAGATCTCTTAGCATAATTAAGCCTGATCTTGTAGCCCTCGTTAATTCCTTTCTAAGTAGCTATGGTAGTAGGCTGTCAGCAAGTGTTGCCAAAACAAGAACATTTGTATAATTGTTAATCTACCCTTGTTTTAATCAGACAATAAAATAAAGCATCAGCTTGCAGGCTGGGTCTTTTGGGTCCTCATCCAGACATGTGAGATCTACCAAGCCCCAGCTGTATTCTCCTGTCTGTCTTTTCTTCACCACCCCTCCTCAGGTTCACCCTTCACAATGCTAGCATGGCACAACAGCCAGGGAGACCCCTTATAAACAGAGGTTTTCATTATGAATGTAAATGCCCCTATAGAGGGTAACTTCTATTTGGTTTCGAGAGTTTTTCCTATGTCTGCTGTTTCTTAAAAATTAACCAGTGGATTACTTAAAATAATCCTTATTCCAAAGTGAGATATTTGGGGGTGGTAAATTCAGCTTCCCTACATCTTCAGAAAGTGGGTCATTTTAGTAATGCAATTAAGAATTTTAATTCAAAAACCTTTATTTATGTTACATTTTTACAGTAGCATGGGTGGAAGACAGGCAGCAGTCTACATTTATTACTAAAAGATGTTATGTTTACTAGTAACATCTTGTTGAACTTATGTCCCTGGTGTCAAGAAATGTGAGCTTGGACCTTACTATCTTAGCTTCTGGCTACACTCAAACACAGTGTCTATGCAAAAGCATGGCTCAATAATGATTTCTTGTTTTATAGATGCAACTTAAAATAAAAACTAATTTGAATTAGCAATACCTAGCAATATTGTCTGCTCACACACTTTGCACATCTATTTGGAGGTCTTCTACAGGTATTGATTCAGAAACTTCCTGTAGGTATTGCTTATTCCTTTCTTTTTATTCATCTCTTGAAAGTTTCAACTTGGAATTTTGAACCATAACCTGGATAATCAATGTGCAGAATGATTTTCTGATATGCATGACTTAGATGGAAGAAAATATTTCAGAGAAAGAAAGCTGTTTCTAGTTGTGTAAGAATAATTTGAGGTAATACTGATAGAGAATTTAGTTTTAGCACCATTAATATGTGAACAAAATACTAAAGTATTCCTTTCATACTTTGTAGTATTATCACACCAAATTATAGGTGCTAAACACACCTAATTACTGAGATTAATACATATTTTGGTTGCATCTTAAAAATTCTCACTCATGTGCCTGTATTAATCTTTAAATACAGATGATCCTTTCACAATGGTGAAGATAGTTAAGGATATCAACCCCCTTTGAAAAATCTGCATATAGCATTTGACTTCCTAAATTAGAACTACAGTCCATT